AAAGGAAGAGCCAAGAGCTGGTACCAAGTGGCTGGGATCTGGGAGATGGATGTCAGATGCACTTGGCAGGTCCCTATCTTGTATTCAGAGGGAATTACAGGGAAAGATAAGAATAAAAAGGGGGCAAGGCAGTGGTGGAACACACTCCCAGCACTGAGGAGACAGAGGCAGTCAGATCTCTGTGAGTTCGAGACCAGCCTGGTCTACAAGAGCAAGTTCCAGGACATGTTCCAAAGCAATACAGAGAAACCCTGTCTTGGGGGGGAAAAGTGGCAGCAGTGTGTGTGTGTGTGTGTGTGTGTGTGTGTGTAAGTGGCCACTTCCTTAGGCTTGTTGGAAGATGAGCTTTAGGGACAATCAAATGTGACACTAGATCCCATAAAACACAAGCTCCGTGACCTTGGGCCACTGACTGACTCTCTGGTTTTTAGCTCCCTTGTGGGGCTGACAAAATTACACATCTTGTAGAATGCTACAGAGATTTAAAGGACTTGAACTCAGTCTGAACACTATTGAGGGACTCAGTAAATCACAGCTGCCATGTTTAGAGTGGCTAGAGAAATACCCAGCCTGAGATTAGCTTGTTGGGCTCTTTAAAAATCCGTCCTTGGAATGCATGTGTGGCCTAGCAGGTGCAGGGCCCAAGGTCCCACCCTAGCACCACAACAAAAACAAAAACCTATCTGAGCCAATGGATTTCGGTGGGGTAGAGGGGTGAGGGGGAGGGACACAGGGACAATATGTTAACTGTATCCTAGCCTAGTTTGACAGCTCCCACCTATAATTTCAGCACCTGGGAAGTGGAGGCAGGGGGATCAGAAGTCCTTGGCAAGAACAATGCCAGCCTGGGCTGCACAAGACCATCTTGGGGAGCGGGGTGATTAGTTGTCTCCTGAAACATTTACCTGATCCTTGGGGACATATCTAAGGACCAGGGAAACTAGAGTTTGGACTCCTGAGGACACAGAACTATTTAATAATTAAATTGTCCTCAGCACAGAACATTCAGGTTGACACTCTTCTGGATTCCACAGACCCAGAGAAGGTGGCTGGGAAGTGACATCCCCAGGAAAGGAGCCTTAACTCCAACTATCCTGTCATGGAGCTGAAGGACACCAGAGGGTAAAGTGTGCAAGCAGGCAGGCCAAAAGATTGCAGCCTTGGACTGAAAGAACATCTCAGTAGCCTAAGAGTGTGTGCTGCTCTACCAGAGGATCTGAGTTCGGTTCCCAGTACCCACAGACTCACAACTGCCTATGACTCCAGCTCCAGGGGATCTGATGCCCTCTAAACTCTATTGGCATCTGCACTCACATGTGCACAAACCACATGCAGAGATTCACATAATTGTAAAGAAACCAGATATACACCCAGTCTGGAGAGATGGCTCAGAGGTTAAGAGCACTGGCTCCTCTTCTGAAGGCCCTGAGTTCAATTCCCAGCCCCCACATGGTGGTCATAACCATATATATAACAACCATCTGATGCCCTCTTCCTGGTGTGCAGAGATACATACAGGCAGAATGCTGTATACACAATAAATAAATAAATCTTAAAAATAAATAAATAAAAAAGATATATGCCCTGGCCTGGGCAGGCATAGGTTGCCAAGAGGAAGTGGGAATTCTGGTCCTCCCATCCCCCCCAAGCCTACTGACTCATATTCCCCTTTTCCTAAACCCCAGGCCCCCCTCTTCACCTTCTCTTCCACGGCTTGCCAACCCTAATTCCTCCTGGAGATCTCATACCTCCCGGCGGTACCCTCTGGCTGGCTGCAGCTCATCAGGAGAAAGTGGGCTACCTACCCCCACCCCCACGCTCAGGTTTCACCCAGTGCTTTCTAACCTGCACCCCCCCCCCCGCCATCCCCACAGAACAGGGAACACAGGGAAGGATGGGATGCCTGCTCTGCTGTTTCGCCCACACAGATGTCTATGGAGGGAAGACAGGCAAAAGGCCACCGCCTGAAGGGTGGACGACTACTACTAAACAGAAGCCAGAACTCCAGGTTTTATGTGGCCACGGAATCTGAGGTCTGGAACTTACCAGCTTGGTAACCTTGTGAAGAGTTCCTTAATCTCTCTGAGCTGGTTTCGTCAGAGGCTTAAAGGAGTTACCACTGGGCTCTTATAAAAAAATGTCACTGCTTGCCGGCCGTTGGTGGTACACACCTTTGATTCCAGCACTCGGGAGGCAGAGGCAGGTGGATCTCTGTGAGTTCGTTTGAGGCCACCCTGGTCTACAGAGTGAGTTCCAGGGCAGGCTCCAAAGCAACACAGAGAAACCCTGCCTCAAAAAAATAAAAACAACAATAAAAAGTAATTGATTGATGCTCGATGTTGGCTGGCACTGGCTGTTATTTTTGCTGGGCTCTCCTTGCTCATCTGCATAAGCCTGGTGGCTTGGACAAGCCCTTTCCACTCTGGTTCCTTTTTTTTTTTTTTAATCACCTACTTCAAAGTGTCCTAAGGCCCTGTGTCAGCTCCTCAGGAGTTACTTTAGGCCTACTATGCTCTGGGAACTAGTGCTTTGACAATGATGAGCTCTTTAGCGTGGTTATCCCCTAGCCTTTGGTGCTTCAGGCCTCACTAAGGAACCAGGGTCAGCAGGCTCGGTCATCCCTGCCCTTCACCTCTTTGCCATGCACAGCATTCCCTGTTGCTTTGTGGACCCTGACAGTTCAGCACATTCTCTTTAAGTCTATTTTATCTTGCCATGGAGAGCAAAGTTTGACCTCATTAGATAAAGAAAATAGAGTCACGATCCAGAAATTACCGTGTACAAATGTCATCTTTGTTCCCCCTTTTGTCCCTTGATTTCTTCCTATTTATGGGTGTGTGTACGTGTGCATGCACGCCCATGCTTATGCACGAACGCCCACATGTGGGTCTATGTGGAGGTCTTCCTCTGTCATGCTCTGCCTTGTTTTAAGGTAGGGTCCTCTCTCTGAATCTGGAGCTCTCTTGTTTGACTGGACTGACTGGCCAGTGAGCCCCTAAGGGACCTCCCCCCAGTCCTGGTGTTACAGGCTTTTCCTGTGGGTGGGTGCTAGCGATCTGAACTCAGGCCCTTGTGATTATCTAGCACTTTACTGGCTCAGTCCTCTGTGTCCTTTTCAGAAAAGAATCTCACTATGTTGCTCAGACCGGCCTTCAAATCAAGACTCCCCCGCCTCTGCCTCCTGAATGCTGAGATCAAAGGTTCCTACCGCCATGCACACCTAATATTTTATATTTATGTTAAAAATAAATAAGTAACCCATTTGGGCATGGTGGCCTATGCCTTTAACTCCAGTACTAGGAAGGCAGAAGCAGATGGATCTCTGAATTTGAGGCCAGCCTGGTCTACAGAGCTAGTTCCAGCACAGCCAGAGCTACACAGAGGAAGCCTGTCTCAACAAACAAACAAAAACAATAAATAACCCTATCAGTTGGGAGGCTGAAGCAGGAGTACTGAGAGTCCCAAGCCAACCTGGCCTCGAAAATAATTTAACTACTTGGAGGCAGAAGGGAAAATCACTTGAACCCAGGAGTCCAAGGCCCATGTGGGAGAAACAGCAAGACTCCTATCTGCAAAAGATAAAAACTAGCAGTAAGTCTAGCCAGAGTTAATATATACTATGAGAGGCAAAGCCTCCAGGGGGTTCCTAAGGGGAAGACAAGGCATGGAGGACCCCCAAATGCTTGCTGTTAGGTGTTCTATTAGTTAGCTACAGTAACTCATTTCCCACATGGTTCAACACAACTTCAAACCTCAGATCTAGCTGGTGATTCAGGCCCAGAGGCAAGATAACAGCAATGTCTAACTCCAGAAGCAGAGCTCCAGTGTGTGAAAGTAGATTGGACAAGCTCTGGCAGGTCTTCAGATCTCTCAGCAACCGGGTCACCTCCCTCTCTGCAAACCAATTCTCCAATTCAGCTCAACCAGTTTAAAGAAAAAGCCCCTCCAGGCCTTCCAGGATGGAACAGAAACCGTCTGTTTGCAACTGTGCTGTGGACCTCCATTTGTACTTAGAAATGTGACCAGAATGGAATTCTTGCCTGGAGCTCAGATGCCCATGGCCCCAAGGAGACTACCCTGAAAGGGAAAACAGCTAGCTGCAGTCACCCAGTAGACGATACGGGACAGGGACAAGAACTGTACCACTGACTGGCAAGGGTTATCTGTGGCAGGGATGGAAGCTGGAAAGGATATCCTCAGGGGACACCTGAGGCACAAAATCCTGCCAGGAGCTTCATTGTGATGTCCCCTGATGTCCAACAAGTATAGGCCAGCCTGGAGAATCCTCCAAACCTCCCAGCACCTGGCCTCAGGCCACCTTGGAGTCTGCAGGAGCTGCTGAGGGAAAATCTCCCAGGTCATGGCTGTGGGTGGTGGGATCATGTCCCCTTCCCTTGCTAGGGCAATCTGGTTTTCCTGACACTAAGGGAAAGGTCCAATATTCTGGCCTGGTGGCCCTCCCACCTCCCTAGAGCTCTCCTCAGGGTTGCCCACCGGATCTGTACCACCCCCCCACACACACACACACACACTTTGGGTGTGATCCTACAGGCCTGCTCCCCTGCCTACCTTCTACAGACTGTATTGAAGTATTCCTTCCCTCCATCCCACCAGCTAGCTCATAGGCCATGCTCTGGTCCTGGTTCTCCTGACCTCCCTGACAAGCTGCCTTTGGTTCCCCCCCATAATCCTTCTGCTCCACCCCCACCCCCCGCTGTTCCTCTCACCCACTCAGGGGTGACCTCGGACTCTGCTTCTTCCTGTCCCCTCCTTGCTGCTGATTCTCCTGGTGGCGCCTCCCAACCCCTACCGGGAGGTGCTCCCCTACATGACTGTCAGGGTCCTGCTGTTCTCGGCCTCGCCCCCTCTTCCGCCACCTGCCCACTTCCGCCACTGGGCACTGCGCACGTGCAAAGCTAGGAGCACACCCCCAAACCCCCCCCCCGTGCCCACAGAAGGACCTTCCAGCCCAGCCCCGGGATCCCCAGGCGGATCCTCACCTGTGGCCAGAGCAGAGCTGAGAGCGGTCTGCTGCGTCCCCGCGTTGGAGCAGCTGATACAAGGGCGGCAGCCACGCCCCAGGCGCGGAGGGCGGCGCTGGGCACCAGGGACTCAGCCGCCTCCGCCAGCCTGAAGCATCCCGCCTAGCGTTATGCAAGCTCGGTCGCATCCCGGGACTTCCTGTGGTCACAGTACAGACTGAAATAGGAGACCCAAAGATCCTAGGCTCGGCAATAGGGCTGCAAACTCCCGCTGAGTTTGCCCACTTCTCCAAAGTGCAGACTTCAATTCAGTGATAGTTGCAAGAGAGTAGAATGCGTGTCCCAGCAAGAGCTCTGAGCTCAACACACCACTCACTCCTCACTGAGCTACTGTAGCTCAGTGAGCTGCTCCCCAAGCTGGGCTCTCTGGCTTCTCAAGGTCTCAACCCATGACCTCGGACAATTCCCCTGTTCTGGTATGTCTAGATCTCTAATGTCAGAACAGCCACTCCCTATTGTCACAACTCTGGCCAGGTGTGGGCACATCCCTGTGCATTTTTAAAGACAGGGTAGGCCTGCCTTCAGTAAATACCGGCTCACAGGGCCTCTCGTGCCCTTTCCTGTGACGTGCAGAGATTCAATCCTAACAAAAATGGAGACCCAGATTGGGTCTTGAGTGCATAGGACCTTACTGATGGAGGCTCTGCTCTTAGTGAGCTCTTGAGTCTGGGATCCTGGCACATTAGCATGATTGGAGCTCGATGCTACTCGAGCTCACCATGTCGTGACCTTGGACAAACCTCTTTGCTCTCTGGGCCTCAGTGTTAGGGAGAGGATAGTACCACCAGCAAGGCTGTTAGGCTTGGAGATCTTTGAAAACTGCAAAATGTGATTTCACTCTGTACTGTGACGAAGCATATAATCTTAATAGAATAGCGTGAAACTTGTCTCTCAACATGTTCAGACAAACCTCCAAATTCCCTAAACCCATGGGGCAAGGTGCCAGGCCTGTCATCCCAGCGACTTTGAGGCTGAGGCAGGAGGATTGTTTGAGCCCAGGAGTTCAAGGCCAGCCTAAGCAACACAGGATGAATAAAAACTAAAGACTTGCCAAGCATCATGGTGCAAGCCTTTGGTCCCAGTACCTTGGAGGCAGACATGGGGGAGCTCAATGTCAACCTGGTCTACATAGTGAGTTCCAGGATAGCCAGGGTTACACAGAGAACATTACTAAAGACCTGGAAGATGGCTTGGATTCAGCTTCCATTTTTGGAAGGAAGGCCAAGCTTAGCTTGCTTTTATTCTTTGTTAATTTTGGTTTGGGTTTTGTTGTTGGTTTTTTTGTTCATTTGTATGTTTGGGTTTTTTTTGTTTTTTTTTTTTTTAATTTGCATTAGTGCTTTGCCTGTAAATATGTTTTGTGTGAGGATATCAGATTTGGAGTTACAGACATTTGTTAGCTGCCCTGTGAGTGCTGGGAACTGAACTCAGGTCCTCTGGAAGAGCAGTCGGTGCCCTTAACTGCTGAGCCATCTCTCCAGCTCCCCACCCCCAATTTGTATGTTTTTAAAGACAGAGTCTCCTGCAGCTTCTGTCTGGAACTCACTATGTAGCAAAGGCTGGCCTAAAACTCCTGATCTCCTGGCTCCATCTCCCAAGTACTGGGCCTGCAGACATAGACCACATCCCCCACAGCTTACATTTAATGTGCTGGGCATGTGGCAAGCATCTAGCCAAACAGTTGCTATGACAACCTCTCTTGATCCAATCAATCCTGTAAAACAGGTACTGTGTTTAACTCACTTTGCAGATGGGGGAAGTGAGCTCAGAGGGATGACAAGGGCCTTCTTGATGATCTTGTCTAAATTTTGAGCATTCCTTTGAGGTGACTGTGACAGCCACCATTTCATGGATAGAAAAGTTGAGCCCTGGAGCCGGGAAAGATGTGTCCCAGCTCTGACAGCTGTAGATGTGTCTGGCCTGGACTCTGGGAAATGGCCCAGGAGGTTTGCTTGGAAGAGAGAAATCATTTAGCCATTACACTCCACTACGGGTATCTGAGAGTCCAATGATTCAGTAAGGACAGTCGTCAGCCATGGGCCCTTGTTGCCTGTCAGCCTCATGAATCCCTTACCTATTCTGTTGGTCTGTGGCATGTTCTGTCATCATATTTGTCAGTGGCTGAGGAAACAGGTCCCAGTGTGCTACCTGGCCAAGGCCACCCAGTTGCCTAGCACTGGGCCTGGATCCAAGGCAGCTCTTATCTGTGGCACAGGGCTTGTATGAAGGAGTAACCCTGGGTGCTTCCTTCACGTGTCCTGATATGCAACAGCTCCTGTTCCCCGCCCAGGCAGCAGGAAAGCAGCACTTACCACAGCTCAGTTTAGGTCACTGGGTGAGACAAGGACTCAGTGTTCCAGAAGCACAGACAGACCTCCTGCCCTCAGAATCCTTTGTGCTCAGGACCACTTGGTGTCATCCAATTGTCTTAGATCCTAGGAACAAGGTCTCCGGTGAGACTGGTTTCCTGGGCCAGCCTCCCTCAAGCCTCTGACAGAATAGGCCTCAGGAGCCAGGCTCTGAACAGGAAACTATCAGGAAAGGTCTTCAAGGCGCTCATGATCAGAGAAAAAATGAATAGGTAGCACCTGTGCCAACCCCCAACAAGGTCCATTCATGAACCCTGCAATGCACCAGCTGTGTTACCGTGAGCGAGTCACATGCCCTCTCTGGATACATCTGCACTAAAAGAGAGGGAGAGGGGCCAGGGGAAGTCAGAGCACAAAGTGTAAGAGTGCATTCCCTCCTCGCATGGGTCTCAGAAACTGAAGTCATGTCCATCAGGCTAAGCAGCAGGCCCCTTTGCCCTCTGAGCTATCTCACCTGCCCAAATGCCTATATTTCACACTCCACTTCCCCATCGACTCTTGCTCCAAATGAGAAAAGAAAGAGTAACCCTGGAAGGTTGAGGCTAGGCTCCAGTGAAGGTTTCTGGCCTCACATACAACAAAGCTGGTATGGGAGACTGTAATTGCAGCCATGCCTGGGATAGGATGAGTTTCCTAGTCGTTGGTCCTCCTGGGACCCCAGAATGAGAGTCCCCAGACCCTCAGGAGCAAATAGGACTTCCAACGGCCAAGGAGCGAAGGCTGAGGACAGCGAGTGAACGAACCAGGAGCTGAGAGCTGGGAGCAAGGTGGGGCTTCTGGAGGACTGAAAAGAGAAATGGCAGGACTCCGGAGAGTGCAGGACAGGTTGGGACTGGGGGGCTTCGATAAGTCATGTGTCCCTATGACAACATGGCTTGGCCTCTTGCCTGGGAATTCCAAAGAAAAATGGCTATAGCGTAGCTTCATTCTGCTCCCTGTAAAGGCCTCCGATGGAGGGTGATGCATCTTCCTGTGGAGGGTGATACATCTCTACGGGTCCAGGTTGGGCGTGTATGCTTCCAGAGCCACTGGATGATGGTGCCAGCTGCCAGAACATCTCCCAGGTACCATGAGCCTGGGCTGGGCACCTTGGGATGGTTGGAAAGGGGAGTGGACCCAGGCAACCTGTTGGTAGAGACTCTCCTTGGCAGGGTGTTCAGGTGCCAGCCCTACAGTGATTGTCTCCAGTGTGGCAAGACACAAGAGTGCTAGATCTCCCTCCTCAGCCGTGGAGGACTTCACCACGTGACTCAGCCACCCCGGCTTTCCTGCCTTGGGGACTGTTGGCTAGTGCAGACAGTTGACACCCTGGGGACACAGTGCTGTCTGGGAGCTTTGGTACAGGCCCTGGCCTCCTGTCTAAATAGAGTTGTGGGCTGAGAGCAAGATGGGTCTTCTGGGGGACTGAAGGGAGAAACATGACAGGACTTTGGAGAAAGTCGGATAGGATGGGACAGGAGTTTCAACAAACCAGGTGTCTCCTGTGACAACATGACTTGGCGTCTTGCCTGAGAAAACCACTCACTCTGTCTGCATGAGAGATGCTCCAGGAATGGACTGCCAGCTATGCAGCAATCTGGGATGGACGACACTCCCTCAACCTGCTTGGGTTCCGGGGTAGGTGGGAGCATAGTGGGAAGGAGATGTGAAGGTACAAAGGCCCAGGAGGCTCCCAGCCCTGTGACCTTTGCACTCCTCATGATGTCCCTTGGGGTGTGTGGGGAGGTGACCTGACATGCCTCAGATGGGACTGGCTGCTGAATATGGAACCTGTGCAAAACCAAAGTGCCAGCCTTAAGATTTCAAGATAGGGACTGTCAGTGCATCTGTCTCTGGTAGTCACACAGTCCCAGAGACTGCCATGCCTGTCTGACCTTCACTCAGCTCTCTATTAAATGTTACCTAATCACAGAGGGCCTACCCACCTCTGAGTCCATCAGGGCCCTCTTCTCCTGGGACGGAAGGACTGATCAGAGGTTCCGGGTGGCACCTAGTCACTGTTGTATCTCAGAACATTCTAGACACCCAGAAAGTACACTGTAGAAATGAATGCAAAGGAAGGAGGAGATCTTCAGGCCTCCAACAGATCTAAGCTTGGGAAAGCAGATAATTGATTACAACTCAGTTACCCAAAGAAGACTGTTTCGAGATTTAAAGTCATTGGGAGTGGGGCTGGAGAGATGGACCAGCAGTTAAGAGCACTGGTTGCTCTTTTAGAGAACCTGGGTTTGATTCCCAACACCCACAGAGCAGCTGTCAACTGTTATCTGTGGTCCTGGGGGTGGGGAATCTTCTGGCCTTTTGGGGTACTGCATGCAATGATTCACAGACAGATACAAAACACTTGTACACATAAGACACATTTTAGTTCCAGGAGTCAGGGCTATATGGTAAGGCTTATCTCCGAAATAAAATTAATATCTTTTTCATAAAGTGGTTGGGAGCATTTTTTTTAAAATGAGTGTTGCTGGGCAGTGGTGGCGCCTATAATCCTAGTACTTGGGAGGCAGAGGTACGCAGATTTCTATGAGTTCAAGGCCAGCCTGGGCTACAGAGCAAGTTCCAGGACAGGTTCCAGAGCTACACAGAGAAACCCTGTCTCAAAAAACAAAACCAAAACAAAAATCTGAGTATCCAATTACAGGAACTGTAAATTATTTTGGTCATGGAACCAGAACCAATCCTCAAGAAGTATCCCAATGGATACCGGAGGCTGAAGGCACAGGAAGCCATTTTCTCTAGAACTAGGGGTCCTACCTTGCGGGGTGTGCTGACCCTTCGTGCACAGTCATTCATCCCCAACCCCTTTGTTCACAGAAATGGTTAAAATCCCTTTAGTGTTTGGAGTTCTCTGTCCCTCTCATTCTTTGATTGTCCACAACCACACACTTACTCCCCCTCTACATATTTCCCTCCACCCCGGAGTTTAACTTCCTGCCTCTCAC